GACATATTTGAAACACGGACTTGGCGGGGAGGACCAAGGGCAACATACGTAACCTAAACATCTGTACCCCCATAATATGCTGAAATAAAAGAAAAAGAAAAAAAAAAAAAGAGTTTGAGCTGAGCCGGCATTTTGGTCAAACTGTGAGGTAATGTTCTTAATGCTCAGACTAGAGTGAGGAGATAGTTTGGGAAGGTGGAGAAGATTTGGCTCTACTTTATTCTGGTTTTTATTGAAGTTACCAGAACAATAAAAATAAATAAATTTAAAAAAATAAAAGCTGATGAGCCAAACAGACTTGAAGCTAAATATAATTTGATATCGTCTGCCTTGTTGTTCCTTGTGCATTAAGATATTTATTGTTTACCATATTACAGAAAAGTATTTCTTTTTTTATAAGCAGAAAAATTATTAATTTCAGCACTAAATAATGGTTTACCATTGTTTAACCCATAGACTAAAGTCTCGTCAGAGGAAGGTCTTTCATTTTTTATTCTGAATGGTGAAGAAGGCTCAGCTTTGGACCAGTCTTCAGAGCAGGTGGGATTTGTTCCCCTCCCTCCCACTTCCTCAGCCTCAGGAAAAATAATTCTTTATTAAAGGTATAGAATGAAATACATGGATGGGGCATGAAATTTTTATTATCTCACCGTCCTTTTACCTTTGAGAAGCTGTTCATAACAATAATACTATTATTTATGTATATAATATTATAATAATACCTCACATTTATTGAGTGCCTACTGGATGCCCAATGTTATACTGAGTTTTTAAAGTGCATTGTATCATTGTGAAGAAGGCATTATGATTATCTTTACTTTATAGGTAAGGAAACTGAGGCACAGAGGTAGAGCCGGGAAGTATAGGCTGTCAGCTTAAGCACCTGGGTTTTCTTTATCATTTGTTGTTCCTGTCCTTTTCAAGTGCCCCACATTGTTCTCCATAATCTCTATTACTCCTCATAGTTTCCCATTTCCTCCTCCCTCCTAGTCCAACAGTGTACCTGGGCCAGGTGCTGTGATTGTGACCACTTTTCCTTCTCGTGGGGCAAGCATGAAAGAAATTTGGTCAGTAGGGGTTGAGGTTGGGGCAAATGGACTATGTGGGCATGAGGACATCTAGGTTTAGATGAGTGCTGTTTAGAGGAATTTTCTGGGAAAGCTGTCTGCCCTGCATCTGGTGACTTTGGGGCGCATACGAAACTACTGTCTCCATCACAGGGAGGAGAAAGCTACTATTTTTGAAGGGGGCTGAGTTTGAGTGTAGCCCCTTTCTGCTGGGAGAAAGGGAAACCCTGGTCCCATGCATCTCATCTGTGCAAACCAGAGTGAGGCCTGAGGTTACTTTCAGATGGTTCTGCTGGTCATACCATAGTTAACAAGGCCTGTTCCTGTGAGATGGGGCAGGGGGCGGGCAGTATTTTTTTAAACAATATTCACTTATAGTCATGTAGATTTATATCTTCTGATCTCAGACTCCCTGTCGCACAATAGCCAACAGCACTGGCATTGCTCTGCTGTGAGCTTTGATAGTGAAGACCAAGAAAGTGATCTGGGATAGCAGCTGGAGTTAGCCTATATTTAGAGAAATAGTTGGGCAGATAGGGCTTATATGGGTTGAGATCACAGCTTGTCTTAGGCTAAAAATATAAGCAGATTTGGTAGGGCTCATAAATCAGAGTCTGGGGTCCAAGATGAGAGCCCAACATACTCAGCCATCAGGGAAGACCTTAGCTCTGAAGGCAGGTTGGAAGTTGTGGCCCATACCAGGGGTGCTGTGAAGGAAGCTTGGTAATGGGAGTTCGAGCTGGAGCAAAGAGCCCTGTTTAGTCTATGATTGGAATCTTCAGACATCTCTCCTATGTATAGACCCTTCAAATCTTGCTCCTAGAAGTTGGTATCATACTTTATTTGAATTCTGAAGAAGACATCGCAAAGATTTCTGAATATAAAATATTTTCTTGATTTTATGACAGGGATAGGAAGGAGGGTGTGATGATATAACTTCATACGAACCTAGGTGATGCTTATTTAATTTTGTCAGAGTTGATCAAAGCCATGTAGGTTCTCTATTTAAAGGAGTTATGTGATTAATTCTTTAATTCTTTTTGTTTTATAATTTACCCTAAATGTATGGTTTTGAGAATTGAGGGATTTTTATTTGCATAACTCATACACGTTCTCTCTTGTTCATTATATATATATTTCAAATTAGACAAGGAAAATCATCTAAAATAAATTGATGGTTATATTTTTGTGAATAGACTCATTAAATTTCTGATTATGATATAAAGTATACTTTAGTAATATGTCTGTTTCCATACCTATGTTCAGATTATTTTATAACTTTTATATATATCATATTTCAGAATTTCACTGTAATCACTCTGCCAGACTTCTATGTTGAATTGAAATTTCTTCTTTCTTTTTTTTCTTAAACCTTCTAGAAAGCAGCATTCCGACTCCACAGCACTGTAAGTAGTACTACTTTCTGAATGATTAAAAAAATGGGGTTTAAGACCACATAGTCTGGTGCCTCTGGACCCTGCCTTACACTGTGAATTCTCAGTAGTTGAAGTATTGTAGTCCAGTATCTCAGAACATTTTCTATAGTGGAGGAGGGGCTTAAATTATAGTTCTATATCAGCAGCTTTCATTGGAGAATTATAAAGGTGAGCTATAGAAAAACCATATTGTATGATATTAAGCCAAAGTGAGTTCCATTATGTTCAGTAAAATTTCATTTCAACTAGAACTTGATCTGGGTGACACGGATCAGGAGCACAGTTCACAGTAAGGTTCCAGTACCTTTCATTTATGTGCATTTTAATCATTGGGGGCAAGTATGTAGACTTATTTTTGTTTTTAATATTCAACAGAAACCAGTAAATGATAGTTACTCCAAACACTTTTCAACTAGAACTTGATCTGGGTGACACGGATCA